TTACTTTTTAACTTCTGTACTTCGGTTTGTTGTGCCATTCTCTGTTACTAGCTTCCAGGTTTTGGTACCATAAAAGAAAACAGTTATAAATAATAGATCTTACCTGGATCTTAATCTTCTGAGCTTCGGTGAGTGTAATTGAAAGTAATTTAAATTTTAAATCCTTTATTGGCACGTTATAGCAAGGAACAATTCACACTTGAGAAGACACATCTTAGGCATCTAGCTACGTTCTAAAAACTAAATAAATAAAATCAGTTTTGATTTCAAAGGATACTATCGCCATCTGTTGGCTGAATTCGCAACAAAAGTGCTTATGAGGCTTACATTTTTTTCAGTTGTTTGTTGTAGTCATGTGCTTCCAATTACAGAACTGTTTTAAATGATGAAAATTTTCATGTTTTGGCAATGTCAAATAAATAACAAAAAAGTTTTTGACAAATAAGGAAATGTATTTTTTATGCAGTCTCCTGGTTACTATTTGGGAAACTGTAATGAAAAATATTTGTTATGAAAAAAAGTAAAAAATAAAAAATTTGACTTTTGTGCAACAAAAAGTGACTGAGATATTTAATTTCAGAATTTGCAATTTCATTTTCAACTTGCCTGCAGTGATTGGTCAATTAGAATAAATCAAGGAAATAAGTTTAAATGAAGTGCTGCAAGAAATGTGTAAAATTTAACAGGCCATACAAATAAGTCATGTAGTGTCTACATTAGATTTACCGTAATTTTTGGAAGAAACGCCGCAGCGTTTACGTGTTTAAAACTTAAATTTTCAGCGGAAGCGGCGTTTCTACCCATGCGGTGTTTAAGTGCACTAAAAATAAAATATTTCCTATGATGGTCATTGTACATAGTTTGGATGGCCTTGTCATTGTGCATAGATTGGTGCTGTTCCCACACAAAAGACCACTCAGTTGCTTTTTGCGAACGTTATTTTGTTTACGTTCTTTCCCTTGAACGGACCTACGTGCCTTATTCACCTTAAACGAGATCACAGAACAATAACATTCTTCCCCCTTTCAAATCAACATTCTCATCAGTTTGAATAGCCATTCGATGAATCTTCCAGGAACCATCCTCTTTCCACCCCTGCCTTTTCTGCAATTTTTTTCAAAGGCAAACACGACTCCACTTGCCTCGCAATAACGAACTCTGACGTATTTCTCCCTTCAGCATGAATGGATTTTTCTTGGCATTCTGCCAAATACAGATCCCATCAGTTAGGGTACAAGTACTTGTTGGATAGTTTTTAATTAGGGAGTGGAAAATTTTTGAAAATGTCTCTAAACGACACAGAAGCTATACATTTCTTACCTTTAATTTATTTTTGAGTTATGGTTTCATTTCATGCATTTTTCTTAACTGGTATGTCATATATCAGGACTTAGGTTGAGTTTTTGCATCTATACGGCCCACGACGATGTCACGCGCAATTTAATCTATTGCGGCGTTTACGCTGATGCGGCGTTTCTGTGTAATTTTAATTTTTTTCCCGCCATTTTTCTCGAGTGCGGCGTTTACGCTGATGCGGCCTTTCTTCTGGAAATTACGGTATTTACTAATTTATTATCTGAAAATTGAGCAGAGAAAATTATGTGAATCATTTCATTTTTGCATATATTTTGCTCAAACTAACTCATGAGGCACCATCTGCAATATTTATAGACCGATTCTAGTTTCCGAATGTGGTCCAAAATAGTTTTTTGAGCTGAATAAAGCTGTTCCTCATCTTTGAAATTCTCAGAAAAGGATTTTGCTCTGTCATAGTCTTAACAATATTGTCATCAATCAAAGATGGCCTCTCACACTGTGATGTATTGTTGAGTTCCAAATCACCTGCTTAAATTTTTTAACCATCTCCTGTACAATCTGTCCAAAACTGCATCTCTCTGAAAAACTGTCATGAAATTTCAACACACTTCTATAGCATTTCATCCTTGTTAGAATTTATACAAAATGCAGTGTCATAATTTATCGGTTGTCATAATTTTTACATGATCATGTCTTACATAATAATGACACAACACACTTTTGTTTCAATTAATTTAGAAGAGCAGATGTTTATAAATGCAGTGATAAATAGAGGCAGCCATATATGTCTCAAATGAATGCCTTGTATTAATTTTGAAATTTGAAATAACATCATCTGACGGAACTTTCCTGTAGATCTTATATTTAGTACGGTCCTTGGACTGAGAGAGAGGGGAGGAACAAAAATAGGTGAATCTAAAATTAACAGTAAAGTATGTTATCTTTTGAAGCTAATCTGCTGTATACTTTAGTGCAGTGGTCTCCAAGATTTTAATAATTTAAAGTTCATGTCGTCTTCATTTACATTAAAAACAAACATAATGCACCAGGAAATCTTTAAATGGAGTTAATTAATTTACAGTGTGATGAAAATATTATTCAAAGATTTGAAGATTCAGATTTTATTAAATTTTATCCGTGCTTGTCAAAATATAAATAAGCTTAGTCATGAATTTTTGTGCTAAGAATAATCCCTTTGTTTGGGAATACATGAACAATTCCCCCCTCCCCCTCACAGTCAGTGATAAGAAAAACTTATACTGATGAGAATCTACAATATGCGATGAAGGTAATTTTTAGTAATTTCTGTCCAGGGTTACAAACTTGAAATGCCATCGAGTATCAAGCTGTAGTAAGAAATAAAAATGTTCATAATTATTTACTTACAAACATATGTTATTTATGTTTCAAAGAAAAATTTAATAAATAAGACAAAGAGACTAGGTTGTTATTATTTATTCTCAAGTTCTATCCCACTTTGAAAGTTTTTATAATTTCTGTATTTTTAGTTTAAATTAAAGGAAGTTATTTAACAATTAGTCAAACATGCTAGAATTATTTGAAATAAATGCCAATCTGAAAATTTAATAGTTAGGTATCAGTATATTTGAATAACAAAGGGAAGTAACAAAAGTGTCTTGCTGGTAGCTAACTTTACATTTCAGATAGAAAATTAATATAAATTTGAAATTTTTCCTTTGTGTTATTATTTTTATATGTTTAATAAATATTTATTAGTTTAAATTTAAAATTTATTTAAAATATTTCTTATTTTGTTAATAAAAAAATTTCATTTTGATTAAAAAATGTACTGGCCTGTTAGCTGTTTTTAGATCATGCATTTGGGCCCACATGCAATTTGAATTTGAGACTACTGCTTTAGTGAGTAGATTGTCAATGTTTGGATATGGTTGTATGTCATATTCAAGGCATATGCAAGTTATGAGCATGCAAATCAGTCAATCTTCAACAAAGTTCTTAATTTTAGTAATTGTCACGAGCAAAAATTCTTACTTTTCACACTTGACTGCATCTGACTCCAACATAGAATGTATGCTCAACATCTACAAATTTAAATACCATTCCAGATTTTTTGAATGCATTTAATAGAATTCTATTAACATTTATATTTGCAAATTATATACAACCTAATAACATAAAGTTTGACTTATCTGAACAACGAGAATAAGCCCAGCATAATTTTTCTTAACTTTAGAAAACTTTTTGTAGTTTAAATACCGCACACTTAAACGTAAGAGTCCTCATCTTCTAAAATGCAGCAAATTGATAAATATCCCTAATATCTGCAATGGATTTAATTTCATCCAAACCAAATTTCAATTTCGTAATGCAGTAGCATCTCGATGAGAATTAGTTGCATTCCAAAACAAAAATATACGTAATGTCATCTGTTGTTGCCATTCAAGTGATGCACAATTTTTTCTACTACAGTTGTTGCTAGATTTATTCTCATAAAATGCTTCAAGATTGCAAGAAGACCTTTTTTGCTTTAAAACTTTACTTTGTTGGGTTTACCTTGTCAGTGTAATTGCAGTACATATTTTTCTGTGGTTGAAAGCTAACAAAACCTGACTGCAGTGCTACTGGGTTCAAGGTAAGGAACGTATAAATAGTTATGACTAGTAGTGTCTTTTCAAAAAAAGTGTATTTAAAACCTCTATTTGAAAGCTTGATCAAGAGGCTGATGTAAGACTCTTGGGATTCCATCTGTTCGTGTGTTTTTGACAAAATTTGAGATGGAACATAGGAAGAAAGCACTTATACAGTGTGCCTTAATTGTATAACTAAATCCAGGAAATAACATTTGTGTCCAGTGAATTCACAGAAGTTAATAAATTTTCTTCCATTGCTCATTACTGTGCTTTTGGCTATTTCAGGTTATTTTCATAAGATTGTTAAAAAAAACTTGAATTGGTGGATTAGACTTGAAACCTTTCATGTTTATCAAAAATTTACTGAAAATTCAAAATTTAATCCTCAATATCCAGTTTTTACACACCAAATCTTATGATTTTTTTCTCTTATTCCTTCTCTTTGTGAGAGATGGACATTAGTAATTAAATAGATGAAACCATTGAACACTGGTAGTTTGTCCTAGGTTTAGATACCAGCAAATTGACTGGCTACATGGAGTTTTGTGGCTTTTCCCATGAGTACATTTCCTATAGAAAGGTCACCATGAAATCATCCATCCTAAGGCAGATAGCCCTTGTATGCTTGATATAGTTACTGTACTAGCCAATCTCAGGGCATGTCATAAAATGCAGCTTGTGCTGTCCAAGATATTTGGATAATGTTTTGCTCAGCATAATTTTTCTATAATTTTTCTCCCTGACAAAGGAGAGTTTCTGTTAGATGGCATTTTTTCTTAACCTTTATGAAATTAAAGCTAAAAATGATTAATTTTGTATTTTATTAGAATGTTTAAATACTATGAAGTGTTAGGTATAAACATAGTTGTGTTGAAGATATTTTTCAAAAGGCTTTTCAAACTGCTTTTAATATGAATACTTTAATTGCATATTTTAGTATTTTAAATGAAATTAAAACACTGCAAATATTTTTACCTTGTAAAAAATCTATTTGAAATCTAGGTGAAAACTGTTATAGTAGTATGAAAAACATAATTATGTTTGTTTTTAATTGCATTAATTTTTTTATAGGAGCATCTGCTTTAGCTGAATATATTTCTCAAAATCCATTCCTGCAGAAGCTTGATATAAGAGGTAATGACATTAGACTGGATGGTTTAAAAGCGCTTTCACAAGCCATGATGAAGAATCAAAATGTTGTCAGCTTAAAAGTTGATCCCACATCAATGGATTTGGTAAATTTTTTTTTTTTTTTTTTTTTTTTTTCAATTTGATTTTTAAAGTTAACCATATTTGGTTCATATTTCTATGAAATCTAGTGTGCTTTTCTTTAATGATCTGATTGTTAAATCAAAATTATATAAAATGTGTTATTTTATCAGTAACTGATATTTAATAATTTTAACTTCTTCATTTCTAATTCTAGAAATGAAGAAGGAAAAGCTTGTATTCATTTTGGCCCATTTTCAAATTTTGCTTACATATGCTATCCCAGAAGTAAGAAAGAAAAGTAAAGATAATTTATATTTAAAGTTTAATTTGAGCAATGCGTTGCATAAAGATACTATAAATATATTTCTACAATTCAAAATATAAAAAAATCAATTGAAATTTTTTAGATATAAATCTTAAAATGTATGATCGTAGGCAAAAATACCTGTCCCTTTTAAGTTTCATGTTATTCAACCTCTTTGTTTTGTAACCTAATTAATTTGTTTAAATAAAGAAGTTTAATTATTGTAAATATGATAGTGTGTTATATTCATAATAAAAATTAATTATGGAAGTTTTTTCCCTTTAACAAATCAATAAAAAATCAATTGTATTTCACTTTATGTCAAGTCCGTTACCTTGAGATTATTTTATCCAAAATTAGTTTTTAATTCTGTCTTAAAGGGGGAGTACATATTCAGTGGCTTAGATAAACTACTCAAGCTAAGTTTGACTACTTTGAATGTGTATTGCCCACTTTAGGCAGAATTACAAACTAATTGGGTTAAAATAATCTCAAGGTAACGGAGTTGACATGAAGTGGAAGACAAATTATTTTTATTGATTTGCTAAATTTTTATCTAAAAATTTTCAATTGATTTTTTTTAATATTTTAAATTGTAGAAACATATTTATAATCATTTTATGCAATGCATTGCTCAAATTAAACTTTAAATATGAATTTATCTTGAGTTTTCTTTTCTTCTGGGACAGCATATGTAAGCAAAATTTGAAAATGGGCCTTTTGTATTTATTATAAAGTTCCAAAAGTAATAGGAGACCATGACCCTTTTTATGATATAAGCTAATGTTTACAGCATAGTTTGTTATAATAAAGTTCCTTTCAGTTGTGGAATAATCTGAAGTTTTCTAAATTTGTTTTATATCGAGAGAGCTCTTAGTTTTTGCATCAGACTGGTTTTTTTTTTTTTTTTTTTTATATATATATTTATTTATTTTTTTTTTTTTAAATATTGTTTTATTCACTTTGGTGTAGGAAACCCATAAAATGTATTTCTTCCCACATTTATGTATCTTATATGTAAAAGCTGGGAAGTATAATGCATTTCCATGATGCTTTCCAAATACACTCATGTCCAAAATTATATTTACATAAGTGAAATCATGGATTTCGTAGAAATTGGGTAATAATTTTATGAATTTGTGTGCGATGATACATAACATCATCACACATTATTACAAAGGAAAAAAAAACATAAGAGTACTTCATATGATATAAAACTGCAACATGGAACAATAAAAATATTAATAATATTGTTACGAAGGGCCCAGCTGCAGTAAGATAGCTTCCCTACAAAGTGGGGTTGGAGTTGCCAGAAAGTGGCTAGGAAAGGTAGGGTTTCCAGATTTGGTGCGAAATCGGTCATTTGGCGAAAAATTGGTGATATGCCAGAGATGGAGCGAGAATATTCTGGAAACAAATTCTTGCCGGTTTTCCAAAGAATATTTTTAAAAGCAAGTCAAAAGCTATATATACCCTACCTGTACACAGAGTAAGAAAGTATCTAGAGTATGTTGAATTTAGTAGCAGTGTTTTGATTTAGTAGCAGAGATTAGCTTGAGAGTGACCGAACCCAGTTGGGAGCTTTAATTTAGTTCTTTGCTGTGAAGCTGCCTTCGCCGTTATAGCCTGAATTCTGTTTTGCTGATTGTTTCAGTGTGTTTGTCATAATGTTTCAATGACTGTAAACCTGTCTTTGGAACTATCCTGTGTAGTACTGGCAAATAAAGTTTTCATCAAGTATTATAAGCAATTGCTCCAAATCCACGAACTCGTAGAACGCGACAATATGTTAGAAGGAGAGTTCCGGGGGGGAGAGAAAAATTAAGGCTTAAGAATTTAATATGGATTGGGATCTTTCTTGTCTTGTACACATGTTTTACAATATGTTCTCATGCTGGCAGTTATGTTATTAACCACAGTTTGTTCCTTCAGTTCATTTACATCTCTAGGAGGATCTCTCTCATCTCTAGCATTTGCCTCTCTCTATCCTAGAAGGAGGATGTTTCCATTGAATTGCTTTTCCAATATAGTCTCATAAGTTAACATGTGGGTTAAGATCAGAAGATTTTGCAGGCCATTGTATTTACTTCTTCGCCTTCAAGGAATTCATGAATGGTGTGTTTGCTCAATGTGGACAAGCATTATCTTGTATAACTAAAAAGTCAGATCCATGTGCACATCCTGACAAGCCTTACATTAGATTCTAAAATCTTATCCCAATATCTTTGGCCTGTCACAGATACTCTGATTTTGTGTCAAAATGTGTAGGGTTGTACTCCATAGATCCTTCCCATACCACCACACCTGATTACTGAAACAGTCACATTCCATAATGTTCAAAGGAAGATTTCAAGTTTCTGACTCCCTTCAATGCAGTTTAGAATCAGGTGTTAAACTAAACCTTGACTCAACTCTACGACAACAGGGACCATCGGTGTTCACTCCAGTTCTGATGCTCTTTGCATCAATTAAAGTGATCCTTTGTCTGTTGTGGAAACAGTAAAACATATACCTTGACTTTCTGGCAAAAAGGCCAATTTTATTGAGCCTTTTGTGTAGGATTAGCCACAATATAATTATCCCAGTGATGGCTGCAAGCTCTGAACTTAACTTCCGATTAACAGACTTCGTGTTACAATGATCAGTTATTTATTGGCAGATATCAATCCTGAGAATCAGTTGTTATTGTCCAGATCTCCCTTAATTCCAGAGTTCTAAAATTGTTTCCATAGCATAGAGACTATCTGTCTTGAAATAATCATATATCTCAGTGCTTCCATGATTGTCTGTTAATGCTTTTAAGTGGCCAATGATTTGTTGCTTCACAGATTCTTCCAAATGGTATTTCAGACCCAAAACAAACCATTTTTAGTTCTTACACACTGAAATCAAACACTTTATTGCAGAAATTAATTGAGATATTCATTTTGTGCATTGCACACCATCTGATAATGTAATGCCTTAATTTGCATATCAGTAACCATTTCATCATTTTTAATTGGAATTTCATGCAGTTTGTAAAAATGGGTAACATTGATTGGATAGTTCGTATAATATTATTTTTTTGGTGTATCTAAAGATAAATTTTGATGTGAGTGTTCATTGAGTATCAGGGCGTTTTTGTATTTTATTATTTGATATCATTTTAAGCAGAGATGTTTGTGGACTAAATATAGCCAGAATTCTAAAATTCTAGATTAAAGAAATCATATAGTGTACTATGTTTGTAACTGTATTACTATACCATCATATGGATATGTAATCTTTGCACACTGAAGTTAATGACATTATGATAGAATGTAGAATATCCTTGAATGCTGATAGTCTGGATGCTGTGAAAGATTATTTATTCTCATTAAACAAAATTTTCTGAGAATAAATAATTAGTGTGTAATGTGAAGTTTTTGGACCAGAAAATTCTTCTTAGAACCCTAGTGTTAGAATAATTTATCGAATAGCTGTAAATCTTGCCAAAATTCCATGAACCATTCTCTTCCTAATAGCTCTTTAATACCTGTAATGCTCATACTTCAGCCAGGGTTTGTATGGTCCCTAAAAGTAATTAAAAGTCCTTAGGGGTTTTAGAAATGATATTTGGTCCTTAAAAGTCCTTAATTTCAGCCAAAAACCAGCAAAAGGGCCTTAATTTTACACATCTAACATTTCTTTCCTCTCTCCTTCCCCCTCCCCCCAGCTGCAATTTTGAGTGTGAATCAACGTTTTGGAGGAAAATTTTTTGGCGATGCATTGAAAAATATGCATTTGATGGGTTAATGTTTGAATTCTTTCCTAATTCTTAATATAAATGGTGGATACTTAAGTTTTAGAAGCACAAGGCCCTGCCTTGATTTAAACAGTGAACATTTCAAAGTAATTCTTTTTTTGGAATAAAGAGTTAATAAAATATTACATCAAAAACAACTTTTTTTTTTTTTTTTAGGGATATGAGTTCTTTTATTATGCTGCGCTAAATTTGGTGATTTACCAACATTTTGGCGATTTCAAAATCAGTTTGTGTACTTTATTCGGAGATTTGCGAAATTTTTACGATTTTTTTTTACAAACATACCTTTAATAAATATAATAAAAATAATGATAATAAATTAAAATTATATTTAAGAAATAACATTAAGATAAAGCATTTTTATTTGCTTCTGTCATATTTTAAAGTGATATTACTTTCCATTTTGGTGACTGGCAAATATTTTGATTCTGAAAAATTAATGAGATAATAAATACTATAAAGCACAGTTTCTGAAACACTTTTTAGGGGGAAAATGCTATTGTAATTATTTAAAAATTAATCTCATTTGTCTTTTATATATATATATTTTCATGCTAAGAGTTTTCCCATGTAATTGTTAATAATATTTAAAAGTGTATCAGTTAAAAATTCACTTTACACTTTTCTTTTCTAATTCCCCTCCCCAAATCTTCTGTCTTTTTGCTATTACAGAATTTCTGTGTATAATTTTTCTTTCGAATTTTAGACTTTACACCTCAGAAGGTCTAAAAGCAAGATTAATAGATTATTATTTGGAAGGCAAGATTTATAGACCTACAATTTCCGGAAAAATGCACATGGTATTAACATGTAATGGATGCATTTAGTGGGAAATTTGTGTTGAATTACTTATCCTTTGGAGAAATTTTGGAAGAAGACTGGAAAATTATTTGAATTTTCTTCTTTTGATCCAGGAAGTCTTTCTGTTAACATGT